CCCCCCCCCCACTGCCACCAGCCAGTGTGTTTCTACCCCCTCAAATGAGTGTCTTCTTAGGAACCCAGGAAGTATCACCCCTTGTCTTGGCCTCTGGGACCCTCTCTCTAAGCTCCTTTTAGCATGCAAGGGCAGCCCCCTTCTTGTATGAGCAAATTTTCCCTTATGTTAAATCATCCTTCCCTGCAAACATGGATTATAGACCCCCACAATGGGTTCATGATATGTGTGTGTAGAGTTCCCTGGGCCAGGGCATTTACACCAACTGTGAAGAAAAAGCTTTGGAAATGTCGGGATTCCTTTTCTCCTCCCTCAGCAAAGCCTGACTTTCAAGACAATTGTTTGACTAAGGACCTCAAATAATTTAACTTAAAGCTCAGGCTGAGTGGTGACTCCCTTGTACCAGGTGGTCACCTCCCTCCCCATGAAGCAGTGGGTGACCCAGTTCAAGGTGTGAGAAACCTCATGTCAATGGAGAACTCAAGATTAATGGGAATGTAAATGAATGAATTTAACGTTTCAAAAACTTTAACCCCATTACATCCTTGGCTGGATAAACTGGGCCCTGGGGTGTTCTTATGGCTTTCCATCTGAGTCTCTAATTGTCTCCTGAGAATGGGCCTTCCTCCATCTCTGTCCCCATTGCCCCTGTGTGTGAATACTCCAGCTGGTTGTATGACATTGGCAGGGAAGCAGCTGTCTGGTTTAAAGGCAGTAGTGGCCTGGGTCTCTCTCCCTAACTCACCCGGGTCCTCTGACCCACCCCATCATTACTCAATCTCTTGCTCAAGAGGGAAATTGGGTTGTGAGATCCTGGGAGACTCAGGGCTCTCTGGCTTCCAAATCAGACCCTTAGGGATGGGCTTTGGCTCCTGCCTCTTCAGCCACAGGTTCTCTCCTGGTCTCACTATTGTCTGCAGGCTCTACCCCCAAATACACTTTCTCCAGTTGGGTCTCAGGCCGCTTTTGTCCTCAGCAGCCCCTGCTGGAATTGGCCTTCTCTCCCTCGACAAAGGTTGAATATAGCTGTCAGAGTCCACGCCAGTTCTTTTCTCCTTTTAGCTAGCTTTCCAAAGTCTGCTGCACAGTATTTCTATTTAGGGGTCAGATCCTGGCCTTAGGATATCTTGGCTTAGCCTTAATTATGCAAGCTTCCTATCACATATATCTAATTTGCTTACAGTCTAATAGTGATTCTACAGATCAATGAAAGCATTTTATTTTATTTATTATTATTTTAATCCTCTCCTGAGGATAGTTTTTCTATTCCTTTTCAGAGAGAGTGAAAGAGAGAGAAAAAGAGAAAGATCAATGCAAGAGAGACACATCAATTGGTTGCCTCCCTCTCCAGCCTCTACCTGGGCCAGTGATTGAGCCTGCAACCGAGGTATGTGCCCTTGGCTGGAATTGAACCTGGAACCCTTCAGTCCATGGGCCAATGCTCTAACCACTGAGCAAAACCGGCTAAGGCTCAATGAAAACATTTTAGATTAAATTGACTTGAAAGTCACAATGAGATACCACTTCACACTCATTAGGTTGGCCATAATAAAAAAGACGAGTGTTGACTGGGACGTGGAACAATTTGAACACTCCTATGCTGCTGGTTGGAATGTAAAATGGTGCGGTTGCTGTGGAAAACAGTTTGGTGCTTTCCTCAAAAGTTAGATGTAGAGTTGTTATATTGACCAGCAATTTCACTCCTAGGTATGTACCCAAGAGAAATGAAAGCATGTACACACAAAACCTTGCACATGAATTTTCATAGCAGCATTACTTCTAATCACCAAAAAGTGGAAACAACCCAAATATCCATCAAGAGATGACTGGGTAAATAAAAGGTGATAGAGCCACACAATAGAATATTATTCAGCTACAAAAATGAATGAAGTGCTGACATGTGCTACAGCATAGATGAACTTTGAAAACATTATGCTAAATGAAAGAAGCCAGACATAATGGGTGATTCCATTTATATGAAATGTCCAGAACAGGTAAATCCATAGAAAGAAGTCAGATTAGTAGTTTTCTAGAGCTAGAGGAAATGAGGAGTGAACCCCTCTAACTGGTATAGGGTTTCTTGGGTGATGAAAATGTTCTAAAATTGTGGTGATGGTTACACAACTCTGTGACTATACTAAAAACCATTGAATTGTACACTAGCTGTAACATGTACAAATTGGTGACGTGTACGGTATTCAACAGGTGGCATACAATATATGATACTATATATATTTACAGAAAAAGGAAGATTAGCTTCCTTGGTGGTAAATTTTAATTGTAACACTCATCTCTATTTTTGCTTCAGCTTCCTAGATAATTGCTTTTCAGAATAAAGTGGTGATTCATTGGAGCTTTAGACAAATGGTGAACACATAGCAGACATTCATTTCTTTGGTCTCTACTCTTAGAACTGGTGCTTGGACCTGCCATTGAGTGTGGCAGAGCCATAGCCCACCTCACCCGCAACCCCATCCAGATCCTAAAAGGGGGCTACCAGCGCTTTTCAGCCATGTACCACTTCTTCAGGACACAGAAGATCATCTGGATGCCACAGGTAAGGCAGGGTGCTGAGCACAGGCAGGCTCAAATGGGAGTATGGCCTTCCCTTGAGGACCACAGGGTGGGGAGCAGCGTGGGAGAAAGGGAAGGAGACAGACAACATGGAAAAGATGGAAGAAATATTGAAGACTGGGCTTGGAAAATGAACTTGGGGTAGCCAGGAGATCCAGTCCAAGATTATGAATTTATAATATCAGATTTGGGCAAAAGCCAACATGGTGTTTAAGAGATGGGGCCTGTTCAGAGGGCAGGGTCTCAGAGGAACTCTGGATGGTGGGTTGCAGTCAAAGTCAGACAGGAATGGGTGTCATGATTTGAGGCTGCCTCAACTTTCTTAACTTTGGGGTCTAGAGGATACAAAAGGGTGGGAAAGTAGTCCCTGCCTATGAGAAGTTCTCATATAGTAGGGGAGGCAAGGGGTGTGGCCAAGGGGCGCACCAGGAGAGGCACTTCCCTCTGGAGCCAGACCTGAAGCAGGAGGAGCTTGAGAGGAAGAGGGATGAGGGCATCTAAGCAAGTATTGGGTGGCAATGATTGGCAGGCTGGGACAGGTCCCCAGAGGGCATTGTGTAGTATCTGGTTTATTGAGGAGTCTGACTTTAGTGGAATGTAAACATGCAAGGCTTTCATTCCTTCCAATAATTGGCTTTAGCTGTATTCTCATTTTTGCCCTTAGAACCATCTTGGGCAGATTCCATACTTTCTGGCCAGTTTCAATTATGAAAAATTTCAATTTAGTCATAAAATGATAGAGGAAATATGCATATTAACTGGATATTTGATGATAGTAAGGAATTATTATTATACAGGGTGGGGCAAAAGTAGGTTTACAGATGTTTGTATGGAAAATAATACGATATAATAATAATGCAAGAATAAACTGTTTTGCTTACTCATAACTGTAATCCGTAGTTTTTAGAGAAACATAATGAAATATTTATGGGTAAAATAATATGTCTGGGATTTTCTTCAAAATAATCTGGGGTAGGTTGGGAAGTCAGTATAGATGAAACAAAATTGGCCATTAGTAGATAATGTTTGCAGAGGGGTGATAGATCCAGGGGTTTATTACACTGTTCTTTCTACTTTTGTGTATTTTTGAAGTAATTTTTAAAAAGCGAGTAAGAACAGTCAGTCTCGTACAAGCTAGGCTAGTATGACATTCCAATCTCAAACCAAATCTTATCTCTTCCCATCCCCTAGAGCTAGGCAGCCTTTGGTTTGCTGGGGATTGGAAGTGGGGAGGGGTGTGGTTTAGCTTCAAGGACACCTCCCCTCTTCTGACTTTCCAGGCCTGGCCCCTTTGGTGCTGAGGGTCTGGGGGGAGGGGGGGCTGTCTTGTTTGGCTGGCTGCTGTCAGTGGAGGGGAGGTGCCTTCTTCTCACTCTGACCCCACTGGTTCTGTATGCTGCTGATGGCCTTTGCTGCTGGTTTTCTTGGGGTCCTGTTCAGGGACCCTGTCTGTTACTGAGGATCTCTCAGAGAGAGCGAGCCAGCTGAGAATTTATGCTAGGAATACTCCTATTTCCCTTTCTTTCCCTTGGTAGCCCATAAGCCCCCACTGCATCTATACTCCTTCACCTAAATCCCCTAATGAGCCACAAGGAAGTGTGATGATGGGGAATGAGGCCCAGGCAGACCTCAATGAAGCCCCTCCTTGCCTTGCCGACTTGGCAGTTCCAGCCAGCCTTTCCAAAAAGGTGGGGATCCATGTCTGAGGTCATACTTGTTCCCAAATCTAGGATATTCATGTCAAGCTCTCCAGAGGACTGTGTTCTCCTTCCACGGAGGTAACTACACTATGATTTTCAGCTCAACAGGTATATAGCCAACCTCCCCATCCCACAGACACTCCTTACTGGCTTTGCAGTGTTCCAAGGCAGTATTTCTCTACAAACATGACGCTGCTGATAACTCATTGCCCCTCCCCTTTTAAAGCTTTACTAAGATATAATTGACACAGGAATAACTGAACATGTTTAAAATATACAATGTAGTGAGTTTTGACATGTGTATATACCTGTGGCTTGCCCTCACCCTCAGTCTTATATAGATTGGGAAGAGGAGTGGGATCATGGCTGCTAGTAGCTATCAGGCCTGGTGGGGAGTTCTTCCCTAGTTGTTTGTGGTGTTCTCTAGAATGTAGGTGCTTACTATTTGCCTTTGCCTGCTCTGTTACTAATTTGGGAGCAAGAGTGAAAGCCACACTCCCTTCCTGTTATTGTTTTGATACACTGTAAAGCAGGGGTGTCCTTATTGCTCCCCAAGAAACTCCTCCTTCTATGAGTGGAGATGGAGGTGCCAAATTTGGACTCTGAAAATGCCCCTCTACCTTAGACAGTGCAACCTATAATTTCCTGTTTTACATGTGGTATCCCTTAAGTAGGATTTCACCTTGAGCAAAGGGGTTCTGTGACTAAAAGGAGTGTGAAGGCCACACTAGAGAGAGATGATGGTGAGCCACTGAATGGTTTTATGTCAAGGGGTGGCATGGTCAGACTGCACTTAGATCAACTCTGATTGCAGTGCAGAGAGCAGATCAGTGGGGACAGGGTGGATTTGGGGAGACCTGCTAGGAGATAGGGATGGAGAGGAGATGATAGATTCAAGAAATACTTAGGAAGTGGCATTGATTAAAATGGGGCATGTGGGGCCATAGGAGAGGGAGGAAGAGTCTAGAATAATGCCATAGTTTAGGTGTGGGTGACAGGTAGTCTGTGGTGTGGCTTATTGAGGTGGTGGACTCAGGAGGAGGAGGCAGTGTGGGGAGAAGGCAGTGGGCTCAGTTTGGACATGTTAATATCAGATACCTCTGTTTCTTTTGTATTTGTCAATGTGGCTATCAAAATTGTGTCATCTAGAATTAACATGTGCTTGCTCTTTACAGCACAGCATGTGTTTATTCATTCCACACCCTCTTCCCCTGCAGGCTGTGCAAGCACAGGAAAGGAAGCTGGTTTGAAAGTAGCAGAGAGTGTATAGATTTGTGATGGGTGTTTAGTGAGATTTTCCCAATGGAACTAGGAGGATTTCATTTGGCTCCAGCAAGCTAAGCATCCTGAGTGAGGTCAGCCTGAGCCCTGGGGACACTTTGGGTCACATCTGCAAATAGCGGGTCTCCCTGCAGGTAAAGGGGTTGTGAATCTCTTTTGAAAACTTGAGGATTTGCTCTGCTTGGTATATGTTCTTTGACAGAGGTTTTTGAGACTGACAGCTTGGGAAGGATGTGGGCTCACAGTGGGTTCACTGGGAGGGGAGATGTGCTGATGCCAGAAGGCTCTGAAGGACTGAAATGGACAGTGAAGTAGCCTGAGGTACTTAAGATGCTATTTTTGAGTCATACTTAGAGCCAGGGGAGTTTTTATAACTGGGTTTGACCTTTGAAATTACATAGGTCAGCATTTCTTATGGAATACTGATGGAAAAAAATTATGACCTATCAGATATTAGAACCGTCAGTTTATACAATGTTAGTGGAATTCTTTTTTTTCTGAGGCTTTGCCTAGGTTTTATTTTATTAAATATCACAAATACATTTTCAATTCATGCCAACAAAAACTACGTAGCTACTGTTTTATTAAAACATCTGAGCTACAAAAGCCCAGCCCAAGGAACCATTAGGAAAATTTACACCGGCTCTCTGATCCCTGGAGGCACACTGTGAGAACAGTCTTAGACCGGCATGCTTTTCTGGCCACTTTCCAACTTGTTTATAAAATTAGTTTTGTTATTTGATGATGATTTTTTTCTAACCACATGATTGGTGCCCTAAAAATCTTTCCTTGGAACAATCATATTTTATAACTCCCCCTCAGCTTTATTGATATGTAATTGATACATAATATTGTATAAATTTAAGGTATACAACATGATGATTTGATATATGTATATACTGTGAAATGATTACTATAATAAGGTTAACACATCTGCCACCTCACAAAATTATCTTCTTGTGTGTGTGGTGAGAACATTTAAAATCCACTCTCTTAGAAATTTTCAAGTATATAATACAGTATTGTTAACTGTAGTCACCATGCTGTATATTAATACCTTAGGACTTATTTGTCTTATATGTGGAAGTTTGAACCCTTTGACCAACATCTCCCTATTCTCCCTCCCTGCTCCAGCCCCTGGCAACCACCCCTTTACTCTATGAGTTTTGCATTTTTAATGTCCACATTTAAGTGAGATTATTTGTCTTTCTCTGTCTAACATGTTCCATTTAGTATAATGCCCTCAAGGTCCATCTATGTTGTTGCAAATGACAGGATTTCCTTCTTTTTTATGGCTGGATAATATTCCATTGTATACATGTGCCACATTTCTTTATCTACTCATCCATTGATGGACACTTAGGTTGTCTCCATATTTTAGCTATTGTGAATAATGCTCCAGTGAGCATGGGGGTACAGATATCTCTTTGAGATAGTGATTTTGTTTCCTTTGGATATATACCCAGAAGTGGGATTGCTGGATCATATGGCAGTTCTGTTTTAGTTTTTAGGAACCTCCATACTATTTTCCATAGTGGATGTAGCTAGTGGATTTCTTTACTGCCAGACTTCTTTGAGCCTTGTATTGCTAATGTACATCGTGAGTTTCTGAGAGAGGGATATCACAGGTACTGCTTCCCATATGTACTTGGTTCTCTGAACCATTTTTTCACAGTGCATTGTGAGGGACCACTGTTTCTTAGAACACACTTTGGGAAATGTAGAAATAATCCTACTCTTTGTTTGTTTTTCAAAGAAATAAAAATTTTTCTTATTATAACTTTGGACCTGGAATTCAGTAAGCTTCCATTTAGGTGGTGGCTTGTTCTTCCTACTTCTCTATTGGGACTCATCAGAACTTCATCAGAATTCATTTCCTAATGACAAATAGAGACTTGAGAGTAGTTTCATTGTTTTTCAAAAGGCATATAAATTCTGGCGGCCTCCTAGTGTAATAAAAGGTGTGTTCCTCCCCACCTTTGCCCTCCCCCAACTGGAGACACCTTGGGTTTACACAGTTGTTGGCCACAAGGTATTAGGTTCCAATTTTTTGACTCCACGGCCAAATGCAAACAGGTGCCATGGAGAGAAGTATGATGTTGGGTGTTCAGATTCAGCATACTGTAACATGCTATATGCCAATGCTCAGTCCTTCTGTTACTACTAGCCCTATAACTCCTCATGCAAGTTATTACTTGCCAATCTCTTTGAATGCCCGATTATTAATTTCATTCACTGCCGTGGATTATCCTTCTAAGCTTGTTTGCTGAGCCACATTTTAAGAGACCAATACCTCCCACCCCCAAATGAAAACAACTTCTTCCCTGGGGAATATTTATAGCGGCCTCTCTCCTTCCTCACCTCAGGAGCTGGATGAATTTCAGCCATACCCTGTTGAAATATTGCCAGGCAGGATCTACCTGGGCAATTTCAGGCAAGCCTGCGACCCTAAAATTCAGAAGGATTTGAAAATCAAAGCACATGTCAATGTCTCCATGGAGACAGGACCATTGTAAGTAGTAATACTATTGATTTGTAAAGATTAAGTATCATTTGTTTATATAAGATTCCTGGTGCAATGCATTTATAGAGTTGAAAGAGCTATTAGAAGTCAGCATACACTAGAATAGGGTCTTTACTTAACTTCATCTGTTCCTGGCCTATAGTCTGTTTTCTGGCTTGGCCATTGCATCCTCTGCCCCTAACCTAGACCCCATACTTGCCCTTCAAATCTCACCAAAAGTAAAACTTTCCTGGTATTTAACATTGTGGTACAAAGTATCCTATTCTACCCTGCTATGCTTATCTCAGGCCCTCTGAGAAATAACCCATTTTAGTCCATTCAGGCTGCTATAATGGAATACCATTGACTGGTGGCTTATAAAAAACATAAACTTATTCTTATGGTGTGGAGGCTGGGAAATCCAAGATCAATGCAGCAGGGATTTGCTGTTTGGTGAGAGCCTACTTTCTGGTTCATAGACAGCTATGTTTCCACTGTGTCTTCACATGGTAGGAAGAACAAGGGAGCTCTTTGGGACCTCCCATTCATGAGGCTCAACCCTCATGGCCAGATTTACAACTAAAAAACCCCAGATAAAACATCTAAAACCATGGTTTTTTAGACGGTTGCCAGTAGAGCACAGGACAATGATTCCTAAATGAAGGGAAAAAAACAAAGTGAGCCCCACAGTCAATTTAGCTTATTTCTTGAAGATTGCTTGAAGGGGACCAAAACAGATCCTGTCATTCTTTTGTTGTTATTGTTAATCCTCACCCAAGGATATTTATTCCATTGATTTTTAGAGAGAGTGGAAGGGAAGGAAGGAGGGGGAGAGAAAGAGAGAGAGAGAGAAACATAGATGTGAGAGAGATATCGATTGGTTGCCACCTGCACGCACACAGACAGAGGCTAGAGATCGGACCTGCAACCCATATATGTGCCCTTGACTGGGAATTGAACCCTCAACCCTTTGGTGTGTGGGCCAGTACTCTAACCACTTAGCCACACTGGCCAGGGCCTGTCATTCTTTTTGAATCCAGAGAGGTCAAATTGGTTAGAATTTGCAGGAGAGAACTTCATGGTGAGCTGAGTACAAAGAAAGGGCTCTGGACATCTGCAGAGTCCTCCTGTGTGTCTTCCAGCTGAGTACTTATAAGCACATGCATGTGAGGAAACTATTCAAGGCTGGGAGAAAAAACAGTAGAAATGAATGGACAGTACAATCCTCAGAGATTATGTGGGGCCAGTAGTAGTTTGTGTTTCAAGTCAGAATAGAGAAAACTCATAATATACAGGGCATCATGTAGAGTACTGAGAATAATAGTATTATCTCAGTAGTGAGGAAACACTAGCCCCAAGTTAGGGATGAAAAATCCAGTGTCTGAGATGAAAAATATGTTGGATGTAATTAACAGCAAATTAGACACTACAGAAAAAAAGACTGGTGAATTTGAAGATATAGCAATAGAAAGTATCCAAAATAAAACACAGAGAAGAAAAAGACAAATAAAAAAGAACTTAACTTTAGTGAAATTGACACAGCTTCAAGTGGTCTACCATATGTGTAATTGGAATTTCCAAAGGAGAGGAAAGTGGGGAGATAGAAAATGTTTGAAGAATGGCCAGATTTTTTCCAAATTTGCTTAAAAAAAACAACAACACTGTAAATTCACAGACCCAAGCATCTCAACAGAAAGAAAACCACAGTAAGGCATGTCCTCTCAAATTGGTTAATATCAATGAAAAAGAGAAAATCTTAAAAGTAGCTAGATAAAAAAAGATGCATTACATACCAAGAAAAAAAGATAATGATGGTAGCAGACTTAATATTAGAAACAAAGAAATTGAGAAAACTGAAGTACTGAAAGAAAAATGTAAACCTAGAAATATAACCAGTAAAAAATATCTTTCAAATACGAAGGGAAAATACTTTTTTACAGGCACACAAAAGTTGAAAAAATTCATCAACAGATAGATGTGCATTACAAAAAATATTAAAGGAAGTCTTTTAGGTAAAAGAAAAACAATACCAGATGGAAATCTGAATCTATACAAAAAGAATCAAGATCACCAGAAATGATAATTATGTTAAATACTTTCCCCCTTATGTCCTAGCTGGATTGGCTTAGTGGTTAGAGCATCGACCTGTGGACTGAAGGGTCCGGGGTTCAGTTCCGGCCAAGGGCACATACCTCGGTTGCAGGCTCGATCCCTTGCCCTGGTCAGGGAGCGTGCAGGAGGCAACCAATCAATATGTCTCTCTCACATTGATGTTTCTCCCCCCCCCCCCACTCTCTCTGAAAAGCAGTGGAAAAAATATCCTCAGGTAAGAGTTAAAAAAATAAAAAAAATAAAATACTTTCCCCCTTGTTTTTAAATCTTCTTAAAACATATCGCTTAAAGAAAAATAATGTATTTTGTGATTATAACATATGTAGAAGTAATATGTATGCCCACAGTTTACTAAGGCAGGAAGAGAGAAAATAGAGGTATATACTTGTAAGGTTCTTACTCTGTTTACATAAAGTGGTATAATGTTAACTTGAAGGTAGACCACAGTAAGTTAAAGATGTATTCTATACACTCTAAAGCAACCACCAAAAAATAGAACAAAACAAAATAAAAGAGATATGATTAATAAGATAACAAAAGAGATAAATGGAGTCATATAAAAATTTAATCTAAAAGAAGGCAGAAAAAGAGGAAACGAGGAATAAAGAAGAGATGAGACCAATGGAAAAGAAATAGCAAGACGATGGATTTAAATTCAGTCACACCAATAATGACACTAAGTGCAAATGGTTTAAATATTCCAATTAAAAGGCAGAAGTTGTAGGCTGTCTACAAGAAATATACTTTAAATATAAAGAAAAAGATAGGTTAAAACTAAATGGATGGATTTGACTTTGAGTGGTAAACACACAATGCAATATATAGATGATGTATCATAGAATTGTACACTTGAAACATAATTTTATTAACCAATGTCACCCCAATAAATTTAATTAAAAAACCTAAATAGATAGAAAGAGGTATTCCAGACTGATAATAGTAATTAAAAACAAAGAACTTTTGAGTGGCTGTATTATTATTAGATAAGTTGGACTTCACAGCAAAAAAATACTACCAGAGATAAAGAAGGTCATTTCATTATGGGAAAGTAGTCAATTAATCTAGATTCTAGAGGACATAATATACTTAACTATGTAAGTAGCTAATAAAGAAGCTTAAAATGCATGAAGAAAAAACTGATGGAAAAATAGAGAAATCTACAATTATAATTAGAGATTTCAACATCTCTCAGTAGACAGAAAGTGGTTATAATTTCAAAGACTAGAAGAGCACTATCATCCAATTTTACCTAATTGACATTTATAGGACACTCCACCCAATAACAGTAATGTTCTTCTAGTCTTTGAATGTGTTCTACAATATACATTTTTTCAAGAGAACATGTAACAGTTTTGCCAAGATTGACTCTTCTTGGCATTAAACCAAATATCAATACAGCTAAAAGGATTCAGGTTATAAAAATTTATGTTCTCTGACTATAAACGAATTAGAAACCAATAACAGGGTATCTGGGAAAAATCCCAAATGTTTGGAAACTAAATAACACACTTCTAAGTAGCCTATGGGTAAAAAATAAATAAAAAGGGAAATTAGAAAGTATTTTGAACTGAATGAAAATAAAAACACCATATATCAAAATGTGTGGATGCAGCTAAAGCAGTGCATAGAGGGAAATTTATAGCCTAAAGGCCTACATTGGAAGAGTCTCAAATCAAATCAAGTACCTTCACTGACTTAGGAGTTAGAAAAAGTGCCCTGGCAAGTGTTTCTCAGTGGTTAGAGCCTCGGCCTGTGGCCCATGCACTGAAGGGTCTTGGGTTCGATTCCCAGTCAAGGGCATGTACCTGGGTTGTGGGTTCACTCCCCAGGGTGTGTGCAGGAGGCAACCGGTCAATGTGTCTCTTTCGTATCGATATTTTTTCTCTCTCTCTTTCCGTCCCTCCTTCCCTTCCACTCTTTCTGAAAAGCAATGGAAAAAATATCCTTCAGTGAGGATTAACAATAACAAAAAATTAGAAAAAGTAAGCAGGAGAAAGGAAATGGTAAAGATAAAAGTAGAAATAAATGAAATAGAAAACAAAACAATTGGGAAATTCAATGAAACTAAAAAACTTGTTCTCTGGCCTTGGCTGGTGTGGCTTAGTGGTTAGAGTGTCAGCCCGTACACCAAAGGGTTGTGGGTTCAATTCCTGGTCAAGGACACATACCTGGGTTGCAGGTTTGACCCTAGCCCCCATCAGAGCACATACAGGAGGCAACTGATCAATGTTTCTATCTTTCTTTTCCTCTTTCCCCATCCCTGTCTCCTACTCTTTCAAAAAATCAATGGAAAAAATATCCTCGGGTGAGGATTAACAATAAAAACAAAAAACAAAACCAAGAAAACCTGGTTCTCTGAAAAGATTAATACAGTTGACAAACTTCTACCAAACTGATCAGAAAAGAAGAGATAGAAGACAAGAATTACCAATATTAGGTATAAAAGAAGTAACATTATCATTATAGATCCTATGGATATTAAAAGGCATTTTCTGGGCATTTATCCCACAGAAGTGAAAACTTTATCCACACAAAAACCTGTACATAAATGTTTGTGGCAGCTTGTCAACTGGCGAATGTTAGACAAACTTTGGTACATACATACCATGGAATGCTACTCAACAATAAAAGGAATGAACTACTGATACATACAACAATTGGTATAAATCTTCAGGGCATTAATGCCGAGCAGAAAAAAAGGCCAATTCCAAAAGGCTACATATTATATGACTCCACTTATATAGCATTTTTGATATGACAAAATTTTAGAAATAGAAGTCAGGTTAATGATCACTAGGAGTTAGGGAAGGGGATTGAAGGAAGGAGGTATTTCTACAGAAGGGCAACAATAAGGGATCCTTGGTATTAGAACTGTTCAGTATCTCTACTGGGGGTGG